CATTGATATGGTGAGGCACAGTAAAGTTAATTGACATCCCAGTCATTCGTGCTCTGTGAATACACTTATCTATGTGTAAGGAGCTCATAGAGATGCTGGAACTTCATAGGAACAATAACAATAATCACAACAATAATAATAAATAAAATCTGACTCCCCTGTAGTACTTTCCAGAAGTAGATCTGAAGAGTTTTCACCATGGAAGTCTTGATCGTTGGCTTTGCAGGTGTCAAATCTGAGGTGCACAGGAATGCAATGATTTGGCCAAGATCTTGCAGACTCAAGAGCTCATTGAGGATTTTGAGCTAATTGAGGCTAAACCTGCCTGGGTACCAGCCCCAGGTAGGAGGGACCTCATAGAATCATCCCTATACAGGGGTGTGCTTGCAGGCTTGGGACCTGAGGATTTTGAGCTAGCTGAAGCCAAATCTGCCTGGGTACCAGCCCCAGGCAGGAGGGACCTCATAGAATCATCCCTGTACAGGGGTGTGCTTGCAGGCTTGGGACCTGGAAGAAGGACCCTAGCCCTGAAATGGGGGAAGTAGGGGTATGGACCTGGTTTTGCTGTACCTACACTTCTGGTTTGGGGTTATTTTGTGAGTATGAAGTCAATAAATCAGACAGTACCCTGGGGACATCACCATCTCATCTGTGAGAAATGTTATTGAATACTTCAATGCTCAAAGTCCTGGGATGGGAACTGAAGAGGACAGAAGTAGCAGGTAGATGGGAAAAGTTAGATGGTTCAGAAGCACCACAATTTGCTTATTTATGGGGGAATAGAAATATATTTTTAATGGGAAAGATAAGAAATGCCCTAGTCCAGCATGACCTCAGGTAGTTATAACCTTTCCCTAGGTGATAACGAATCTGGAGTTCTATTTATTTAATAGAGAATAGGTAAAAATCATTCCTTCAAGCTGCAGAGCTGTTTGAACCCACATCCTGGATGAAGATGTTACCTTTTCAGATGTTTACACAAAAAAACCACCAGACCTTGCTCCTTCTGCCTTTTCTCCTGCACACGTGCATAAGGGGCAACTAAAATCACTAAGCAACAGCACACTTTTGACTGTTGTTTTCCTTTTTAGTCTGCTATAGAAGATGAAAATAATTACAGAATAGTTAAGCTAATGCCCTCGGGTTGCCATGTTCTCCTGATGTGAAAAAAACATCATCACAGAAGTTGGCGTGTGCTGTTTGCACTGTAGTGTTTTTAGTGGGTTTTTTGTAGTGTTTTTCAGCAATTAATCCTGACCATTAATTGCTAGAAACCTTAGTGGTGATTCTGTGAGAAAGATACAGCTAGGGAGTTCACTTCAGGGTGTTTTCTAGAGACAAAAATGTGTCTTGCTATGCCATGCTTTATTTTTATTATCAGAAGGGCCATTATTAGAACTTTCAGACTGATAGAGGAGCCGTTCCTGCAGCACCCTCAATTCCTAGACACGCTTGCAAAGGCCAGATCTGTGGGCCTAGGAGGTTTCTTTTTCGTGGAAGTTTGAGCCATCTGGCTTCCTGGCTCAACAGGTGATGACTGGAAGGTCAAGGTGCAGTCTGAGCTGTGCAGCCTGTCCCTGCTCGGGGAGGGTTTGGTGTACATCTGCCCTGGACTCCAGCTTGCCCTCCTTAATCCCTTCAAAGGTCCAGCGTGGCTCCCAGCTGACTTGAACATTTTCCTTTGATCTCCTGGCTTTTCATGAAGCTGTTTGTATATCAGCTGGTGCTCTCGAGAGTTCCTTTGTACTGACAATGGTGGAAAATTGATGTATTGTTTCTTCTTTGATTGTTCCAAAGAAGAAGAAACTAGTATAATGATAATTGGTGAGACCTTCCAGCCAGCTCCTAAACATCCTTTTTCTGTTTTCTCCCTAGCTTGTTATCTCTAGCCTAACCTTTATATCTGCAGTTGAAACAATCTCTCCTCTGACACAGACCTGCCTGTGTCCAGCAGGACACGTTCAGAGCTGCTTAAGCACCAGGACAAAGGAGCCTAACTCCAAAGTCAAAAACTCAGAGTCCCTACTTCCAGCCAAGTACCACGAGGATGGAATTATGAAGTCAGGCTCATCACTTGTTTTCCTTCCAATTCCAGAAATCCTGCCCTCTTGTGCAGGGTCTGGCAGGAGCATCCCCTTCACCAGATGCAGTTACAGCATCTGTTTCCTTCACTTGGCATTTCACGTGTGAGATTACACCCTGTTTTATTGGAATCCTTAATTTTAGGACTCCAGGGGAAAGTTTAATCCCTGGCTTAATCCCTTGGCTTCTAAAGTGCTGCCAGCATAGTGGATTTGCACTGGTGGTTTTGCATCTTTCTGTTCTCTCTAGCTGGATCCACTGGAGCCTTCCTTATCATGAGGGGACCAGAGGTGGTGCAAAGCTGCTCAGGATAGATGGCAGGGAAGAGGAGGCATTTGTCAAGCTGGGTGCACTTCCCAGCAGCCATTTGGCCCACCACAATTCTGCCTTTATGCTTTGATCACTCTGGGAAACCAGATCTTATTAGTATTAATTTTTTCTTCCCCAGCCATGTTGGCATGGAACTAACAAACTGGAGTTTCCAGAAATGTGTCACCCAAAGCTTGAGATCATAAAAGGCATCTGCATGTGTGTTTCAAAGCCACAACAATAAAAAGAGGTCACTTAAGGAACAGAAGCTGGATTATTCTTACAAGGGAAAAGCAATATTTTTTTTTTCAGAAGGCATTTGTAGCTTCTTTCTTTCTGTAAGAGGCAGATGGAGGAGGGCGTGGTGGTTGGGGACTTCTCAAAGGGTGGGAAAAAATTCCCACTCGATGGAAAACGAAGTGGCAGAGGAGCAGAGTAGAAGTGGGCAGAAAACAACTGGTATTGAGATGGACAGGAGGCTGTTTGGCAATGGTCTGCATCATTCTGATTGGATCATAATCTCTTTCTTTCTCCTGACAATGAAGCTACTCAGCCTTCACTGCCAAGATGTGAGGGCACACCATACACACGTGCATGGCAACACCACTGCCACAAACCTCATTTTCCAACACACATAATACACCCGTGTGATATTAAAATATCTGAGCTGTTGTGGCCCAAGGAATTAGAGAAAGGGAAGACAAAGCTCAGGCAGAGTGCTCAAACCTGGATGGAAAAATAATCCAAGCCTTTTTAAGGAGCTGCTGAGGTTGAGAAGGCCAGAGGATAGAAAGGGCATGCTGTTGATCTGACAATGCAGTGATTTTCCTAGCCCTAGTAAGATGCATATCTCTAGAGGTGACAGGAAAATACAAGAATCTGCTTCAGACTAGGGATGTAACTCAGTAAATTAAATTCATTGCATCTCCAAAAGCAATTTAGCTTGATCCAAATTCTGAGGGACTAAGATGCATGTTCACTGTAGCATGTTATTAGATAACAGTGTTGTTTAATTTGACCCCATTGCTAATTACAGCATTCACTGTCCATGCAAATACCTACCTTATGGTTAGTCATACAAATGCTCCCATGAACAATCCCACTTCATCTTTATTTTAAAATCCTAGATCCACCTTTGTTTTGGAAAAGAAATTGTGTTCTACTAAAGCTGTGGATTGATATCAACAATCAGAAGAGTTATTGATCAGCCCACATTTAAATACAGAAACGTGTCTTTTTAATAAATGATTGCAATATGATAACATCCCACCCAGCCTCAGTATTTATTAGTAAAATGAGCCTTTAGAATGGGGAAAAAGGACACATAAGCTCCCTGCTAATTGCTTGCATTTATCATCCAGCATTGTCTATTGTTCTTGGACTTTATTTGTGCAGAGTGATGCAGCTGCTTTATGTTTGATGGTGGCTAATTTACAGCACTATTTATCCAAAGACAAAAGGCATATGTAACTTCATCTGAACAAACCACAGTGAGCATGTGTAACAGGGAAGTGAATAGACAGGCAGAGATTAGAGCATATGTGCAAGAGCTGGATTTTTTTTTAATTTAGAAATGGAAATTGCAAGCAAAAATGATTGTGCTGGCTGCATCGAGTTCAAAACACGACCTTTGGTATTTTCACTAATGGTATTTTTATTCCCTTTATTTGAATTAATTCAGAGAAATAGCTTTTATTTAATCTAATTTTTATTTCACTGCAGAGCCTTGGGTTTACTTCCTTATTTTCCCTTTTTTTTTTTTTTAAGTTCTGTTTTTTGCCTCCTAATTATTTTTCTGCAGCTCCAAAGCAAATGTTCTCTTCAGAGTTTTGATTTTAAACAGCAGATGGATATTTTTTTCTTCTGTGTTTCAAGAGAAACTTCTGCAAATTTTTTTATTTAACCTGAATTTAGAATTATATTAGACAAATGTCTATGTTATTACATTTATCAAGTTAAAATACAGAAAATATATTTGGCAACAATGTACAACAGCTAAAAAGACTGAATTTCTGGATACTCATGTGCCAGAATAAAATCAGGGTCCCTCCATCACAGCACCTGAAGGGGCCTGGTGCAAATATTTGCAGGAGAGAAGTCCATAATTTTGATTTGACCCATGTTTAACCTCTGATCAGCAGTGCCCCAGAGGTATTCAGCTATCACAGATACCATCTGAGCTTGGCTTGGCATGTCTTGGGGTAGGAGAAAAGGCTTTGGTTATATGTGACAACACTTGTCCCAGAAGAGGAGACAACTAATTACTGCAGGTTGCCTAATGTAGTTTTCTGAATTTTCCACTTTTTGGTAGGTTCACAATATCAACTGCAGAAAAAGTGGTAGTTTAGTCTAAATAAGAAGGAAGAACGGGTCAAATCTTTAAGTGCTGTATAGAAGAACCTGATCTGTGGCTTCCCCTGCCCAACACCATGGCAGGGGGGAGGAGAAGAGCTTTTTACATGAAAAGAACAAATCTTCTCCCCTTTTCTCAGCTCTCAAAGACAACCACACAGTTGGGTTTAATATCTAATCACAGCTTTTAATTCTCTTCCTGTTCTTCTGGTCTGGTTCATTTGTATTAGAAACAGCTAAAAAACCCACCACAAACCCACGAGCTGTTTGATAACTGATTGCTGATTCTCCAAGTTGTGAAGAAGTGGTAGGAACAGACCCCCCCAACTATTTAAAATCTTTCAGGACTCCTGTAGTTTTGTTGTTCACTTGCCTTTTTATATATACATTTTTTAAAAAAAAAAAAAGAGAAAGGGACAGATTGTTTTCTTCTGGTTCATGTTTTAGCTTGGAATCTATGGGGTTTGCTCACACCACATCTAGGGGATTAGCTTGTCGGTGGAAGGGTTTTCCAGACTGAGCATAAGGTTATCAGCTAAATAATTCATTCCACGGGCTGCAGTGTTATGAATAACACAACTCCTGTGAGTAAGTTGAAGGCTGTGTCAGGCACATGTGAAATCAGCTCTGCTGAGAGCCGAGGGATGGATGAGAGAAGCTTAAAAGATGATGGTACCTGAGCTGTAGCAAGCGAAAACTGCTCAGCCAAAGCAGAATATCTAGTGTGGAATTAAGTCCTGCACCTGAAAAGTAAAATTTTATTCTTTGTATGCACTTTGGATGAAATGTGCCAGAAAAAGTGCTGTCATCAGTGAACTGCTTTGCTCCAGAGGTTGGGTTTTCAGCAGATTCAGGCGGCAGAACTAATTAAGAATTAACTCTGCCAGCCAGCGTCCCACATTGCGTCAGGCACCTGCCACGCAGCTAAATCAGAGTGCTTTGGCAGAGAAAATAAAGGAGCTGTGCAAACAAAATGAATTATTGCAGGAAAGGCCTCGTTCTTTGTCTGTGCACACCCTGCCTCCCTTCCTCAGTAAGTGGGGAGTGTGTCTTGGCTTCTGGTTTATTCCTGTTTGCAGCTTCGGAGATACTGATCCTTGACTTTTAGAATCATAGCATCATAGAATGTCTGGGCTGGAAGGGACCTTCAAAGGTCATCTAGTCCAACCCCCCTGCCATAAGCAGGGTCATCTTCAACTAGATCAAGCTACTTAAAGCTTAATTTAGCCTGATCTTGAATGTCTCCAGGGATGAGGCCTCTACCACCTGTCTGGGCAACCTATTCCAGTGGTCTGTCACCCTCATGTTGAAGAACTTTTTCCTAATGTCTAACCTAAATCTCCCCTTTTCTAGCTTAAAGCCATTTCCCCTCCTTCTGTCACTCCAAACCCTTGTGAATAGTCCCTCCTCTGCTTTCTTGTAGGCCCCTTTCAGGTACTAGAAGGAGTCACACGTTCATGGTTGATCTCTCCATCATTATATCATGGCCTCTTTTTAGCACCATCTCCAGCTAAAGATGATCAATTTTTTTAAAAAAAATACAATCATAAAATGCCTTCATTTGCTAAATAACACCTTTCATTTTTATAATTAATCTTTTGACCCACAAGAAGAGTGTTGGTGATCTCTCTCACTCAGCCTTATGAAACAGCATCTCAGTTGTCACCAAACCTACTGTGCATCCGAAAATACTCATTGGAAAAAAACTTCTGCAGAGAAATCGAGTCCCTGCAGATGTTAACAGTTGTTCCTGCTGTTCTTTAGCTGCAGACTGCTTACCAGAGTATTTACACGCTGCAGCCACATCAGGTGGATTAGCTTTAAACTGCTGGACTGCCAAGAAATTGAGAAGAAAGAGATGTCACACCGTGAGGCTGTGTTGACAGATGTTTTACAGATGCATCAGCTGGGAAGTTGTAACCTTCTGTTGTATGCCTGAAACTTGAAAAGAGTGTTCTAAAAAAACAGCTGGTTCTTTCAGAACTGCCCAGCATTTGTTCATAATGTCTCTGATGACCTTGCCCTGATGGTAATCCTCTTTTTAGATTTTTTTTTATGTGGTTTCAAACAATCCTCTCCTAGTCTGAAAAAATGGTTTCACTGATAACTAGAAATAAATGAGTACAAAAAACCTCTTCCCTGCACCACTCCTCTTCTTCCTCCCTTCCTGGTGACAGACACCACTTAAGACCTGTTAAAAATTTGATTTCTGATGGAAGGGACATGGGAACGTTTGTGTTAGTGTACACTGAAACCAGGATTGTGTTTGGGCAGGCAATGGGCACCACTATGGGTTCAAGGCCAGCGTTTTAAATTCTCATCCTGCCATAAAATTCTCGTGTGAAAGTCACTTAAGGTTAAAGCCACAAAAATTTTAGGATGCTTTATTCATGTCTCAGCTGTCAGGGCGATCTCAGGAAGTGCCAGTTCACTGCCTGTCCCTTTCCCCTTGTGTCTTCATCACCTTCTTGCTTCTGGGGATGTACTGTAAAGCAAGGCACCGAGCTGATCCAGTTTGAACATCTTCCTCTGGCAGGGAGGAGGGGAGCATAACGTCAGCAGCTCTGAAAAATCTGTTGCTATGTAGCTTGCCTTTTCTTGCCAAACAAATCTACATGCCATGGAAAAAGGAGTGGCTGATATGTAGTAGAAAACATGTGAATCTGTAAGTTTGAGTTCAAAACAGATGTTTCACACATCTGTGGAATGAGTCCTACCTGGGCAGGCTATGAGTCTTTTGCCTAAAACACTGAAGAAGCTGGCTAGAATTTCCTGGTTGCTTGAGAAAATCCTTAACAAAACTCCTCTCATAGTAACAGGCAGCCTCAAAGTTTTCTAGTGCCATTTCTTTTCACAGTTAAATTACTTTTTTTTGTTTCTTTTCTGTGTGTTTATTCTTTCTGCTGCTAGTGCTGGGCTGCAGATCCCCCAACATTTGTATTTGCATAATCCCAAGAATATTTTTTGGTTTATTGAAAACTAGGCTGGTTTTAAGAGACAGGAATACATAGAAAGAAAAACAATCCTGTCTAGAAAGGATGAGCAATTGGACAATCTGGGAGTAGCTTTTCTCTATTGCTATCATGTCCAGGAGAACTTTTCATGATTTTGCTTGTTATATCTGTGCAATCTGGCACGAAAATTGAATGTTTAGCAAACTGATGTGTTATGAGAAAAATATACAAATTGTCCCTTCTCTCTAGGGAGCAATGCTGCTCAGTGCTGAATCCATACCAAAAACTCAGCTAGATGAGTTCATGAGTTTCTGGGTTTGATTCTGTCAGAGAGAAACTTGGTTCCATTAGAAGCTGCAGAACTTAATCTCCACAATTAAACAGTAAGAAGCCTCGAGGCACAAGTCAATTGGAAATGAGCTAAAACCACCACAGAATCTTTACTATCTAGCTTATGTGGTCAGTCCTGTCATCACCTAGAAAAGCTCAGCCCCTCCACCCCACTCTAATGCTAATGGGTGTTAATGAGCAGGGAGCTAATGGAAGCTCATGGCTCATCACCTGGAAAAGCAGCTGGACCAAGAGAGATGTCCAAGGGACAAGCAACCATAGCTTCTTGCTCATGGCTCAAACAGCATTGGTTTATTGGTTAATAATTCCCCAAACTATGGAGAAAAAAGGAGTCCCAGCAAGTCTTCTTTGCCACTAAGAAGTGATGGACCCTAAGAAATCCTATTGTAACCTTGCTACTGGAAGAGAATAAAAGAAAAAGAAAGGAAATGGCTCGTAGAAAAATTACTACCACTGGCAGCCTTTCAGGGCAGTTAAAAAGCTTCACTCCCTTTCCACATCAGATTTTGACTGCTCCTTTGCATTGGTAGCTCCTCATGGCTAGATAATTTTTGTTTAACGGCAGCTGATGGCAGCACCCCAGAGAGGGAGGCAATAAAATTCACTGATCACTAAGCACAGTCTGACATCAGTTTCAGATAGATATTGGCTGACATCAGTTTCAGATAGATTTTGCTGCAGATCATCTTTGTGATTTGACTCAGTCTCAAAGAGCTGCAGCTTAAGTTTCCCATTACAAAATGGGCAAGGATTTTATTTGCTCATATTATAGGAGTGGTTGGCAGCTTCAGACACCTGGAGATTTCTTTCCAACCCTGCTGAAGAAACACTCTTCTGATACTGAGAAACTTGAGAGTACTTTAAGTTAATTTTATTTTAATTAGTGTTAAGTGTGGTCTCCTGTTCTTTTATTAAAATTAGGTTTTGTCATAAGAGCTAGACATTCCTACTGGATTTATAAAGATATATTTCAAGCCTGAAGCTGTGGAGATAAGTGGACACACTTAGAGACTCGGTCTTTTTTTTTCAGAGAAAATGTTTCTGGCTATTAATACCACCCAGAGAACACCCAGGGCAAGTACAGCGACCCGTGTATTATGGGATAAAACTGAAGCATAAGACAGGTGTGGAAATGAAGTCGTAAAGATTGAGTAGAAATTAAAGCATTAAGGTGATTGCACGCTCGACAGCTTTCACTGACTGCAGGTCAGGCTTACCTGATAATGATCAGAGGGATGAAGTACACCAGGAAAGCCACCACTGTCATGTAGGGTATCCAGTAGGATTCATCAGGCCAGAGAGCCCAGCACTGCACTTCCCCATTGGAGAGCTGCCGTTTCCCAAAAATAATCAGAGTTGGGATGGAGAAGAGGAAAGAGAGGCTCCAGGCCACCCCAATCAGAACTTTTGCCTGTTTTTCTGTGCAACAGAGTCAAAGAGATGGTGTTAGTGGGGGGCTGGGAGGGCTGGCTCCTCGTAGCAGTGCTGACACAAAGGTGGGGAGGAGGAGGAAGCTGGGTGAGGAAAGGGAATTTGGGACTGCAGCTGTCTGGCCCTGAGGAGACTGTGAATGAGAGTGGGGATTTCATTTTCTTCACACAATAAAAAGTCATGTAGCATTTTATGGGGTTTATATAAAGATGCTAAAGGGCTCGTTGGCTCTGAAATGCTGTGAGAAAGGCACCGGGCAGGGGCAGCAAGGCAGAAATCTGAGATGTAACTGGTTCCTCTATGGCACCAACAGAATCACAGAATGCTTGGGTTGGAAGGGACCTCCAAAGGTCATCTAGTCCAACCCCCCAACCATAAGCAGGAACATCTCCAACTAGGTCAAGCTGCTCAGAGCCTCATCTAGCCTCACCTTGAATGTCCCTCCAGCACCCTTCTGGGCAACCTATTCCAGTGGTCTATCACATTCATATTGAAGAACTTCTTCCTAATGTCTAACCTAAACCTCCCCTTTTCTATCTTAAGGCCCTTACCCCTTGTCCTGTCACTACAAACCCTCATGAACAGACATGAACATGATGAATGACTGCCAAGGACTACAGGCCTGACCTACTGCACCCTCTCACCTTGGCACAGCAAAGGTGGCCTGCAGGAGGACAAGGAGACAGGAGAGAAGGAGCCCTTGTGCTATGGATAACAGAGGAAGGCTGAGACTGGGAAGGGTTACTTAAAACATAAACTAGGTTGGAGTGTACTGGATGTACTGGTGGGGGAAATGTCCTCTTTGGAATGGTAATTAAACATTTTGATGAAGTGAGAATCCTCACCAAAAAAAATCCTATTAGGAAAGAGAAATTGCCTCAGTTTGAGATCATAGAATCATTTAGGTTAGAAGAAAGATCTTTAAGATCATCAAGTCCAATCATTAACCTAACTCTACCAAGTTCACTGCTAAACCATGTCCTTAAATACCAAAACTGTACAATCAGCTGCCTTGAACTCCAGCTCTAACTTTACTGCCCCAAAGAAGCATGGTCCTGGAGAGCCCAGACATCTCCTGCAGTTGTCTTCACCGTGGTGGGGACCAAGCCTATTCCTGTTGAGGGATATATGTCCAGTAAATGCCCAGGGTGGATTGCTAACCATGAGACAAGGCAGATGATGGTGGGCTGGTGCTCAAGCTCTCAGCACTGTTTTATCTGCCACTATAGACATCGACTAGAAGATCCTGTTGGACCTCGTGGTGAAGAACAGGAGCTGAAGGATCCCAAAACACTTGGGAGGTTTGGGCTACTGTTTCCCCTTGACTTCTGGCCTTCTCTGTTGCCTAGTGGGGTAATATAATGGGAAACTAAATGATGCATGGCAGAGCCCATGGTATTTTGTAAAAATCAGTGTGTTGGAGCAAACAGGCCCAAAGCTTTAATTTTCATGGATCTGCATCTTCTGGTTAAAATCCATGTACCTTTAGTTGGAAAGTGTGGAAAAAAAAGGGTTGATCTCTGGAGTACCAGTGATTCTCAGCAGAAGTTATTTCTCCTGAGTCAGATTGTGAGAGGAACAGATAGGGACAGATTTTTTGATCTGAAAAGCTTTGGTGTTGAGATACTTTATTGTCCTATAAAATACCAGAGGTTGCGTGTGAAATAGAAAATCCCTTTAAATTATACATATCAAGAGGAATGTCTTTCCTCCCTGAAGCTCAAAGAGCAATATGAAAGCATGTGGGAGAAGCATTGGAAAAAAGGAATTTTATGCTTTATAAAACATCAGTTGCAAATATTCACTTATCCTGCTCATTTTCAAATGCTAACCACGTTCAGCAAAATGCAATCTTGCTAATCTAGGGCTTAAGGGAACTCTGATGACATCCTCGTAAGTGAGAGGGTTAGATTAAGTCTATAAATATTGCACAGGAAAAGGAAAATGTAAAATTTCCCAAAACATTTAAAAAAAAAAACAACTTGGCAAAAGGAATATTAAAAGTTTCACAAATTATTTCCTGACAGAAAGGGATTTCCTGTTTTGGGCAGGCTAATGGAACTACACACACACAAGCCTCAGTGGGACCCCCTTGTCTATTTTCAAGGGGAAAAGGTCATACTTGGATAGGATACTTTATTTTTTGCACTGTGTAGTGAAGCCCATAATTTGAAAGGAAGTGGGTCATTTGTGTTAGGCAAGGCAGATATTTTATCTTTGTGTTTTGTAAAACATAACCCTCAATGTTCATTTATTCTTGTTTTTAAGTGTCCCTTGTGTTTGGCAGAATATGGCCTTGCTAGTCTAAAAGGGCTTTACAGGGCACTGGTAGCATCTAGCTAAGTAGATTTTTGTTTTATCAGGCTGAATGTTAATTGGCTGCTTCATAGCAGGGCTCTTTTTATGGTTTTGGTTATTTTTTAAAAAATCCTCTAATATGCTCTAAATGCCAGGGAATCATATAACTAGAACTGTATCAATTATAAATGGAATCAAAGAAATAACAGCTTTTGAAAGATGATGCTTCTATTCAGCCAGTCTCCACATTTCCCTTTAAAAACCAATATTGCTCTTTAAATGGAGAGGTTCCCACACTGGGGTGATCAAGACTAACACCCATGGTTGGAATGGGAATCTCAGTCCAGAGCTCTGGCACTGATTCTCCTGAAGGACATTTTCATGTCCTTTGGATATTGAATTATGTGTCTGATAGAGTAGAAGCATCACTTTGTAGAATTCTTCCACTTCTTGCACCTCCTGTGGTCATTAACGTATTTGCAAAGTGAGGATAAAATATTTAACTGTTGAAATCTGTTTTCTTCAAAGCCATGCACATGTTTTTTAACATGACTTGAGGCTAGTAACTAAACCACAATTTAAAAAGAAAATAATTGTTTGACATTTTCAAAGCAAAATGATTGAATTTTTTTTCTCAGAATGATATTCAAGACTACATGGATATATAATTTTTAAAAGCATTAAGGAGAAACAACACTTTTGCCTTTCAGTTGAGAGATTTTAGTGGGTAAGTGTTCCATTTTGGAAAGAAAAACCCATATTATTTGCCACAGGTGGACTCAGAACTGGTTTTAAGGTTCCTCTGTGTCATCACCAGTGGCAAAGTTTCATAAATCTTTGTTCTCTCCCTGCAGAGTAGCTAAAGAGACATTTCAAAAGCCACCCCCCACCTGCCCAACACCTCTGCTAGGGCTAGCTATGTGCAAAAGGTGAATATCTGTATATATTCCAGGAAGTTGCTACGGTAAATAGACCTCTCTAAGTCATTCTTGGGGATTTAAAGCTGCCTCTTTTTTGCCTTTGAACGTGGTCTTTGCTTGCCCATCACTCAGTAGCCAGCCCTTGGTAAAGGCAGGTGGGCTTTGCCAGCATTATTCTTGCTTGTGGCTTGTTTCCCCCCCTCCAGAGCTTCATCCAGCTGATGTCCCTGGTGCCCCTCAACTGGGTGCAATGTCTGCTCTTCTCCAGTTGTAAAAAGAAGAGAAAAATCTTTATGGTAGAGGTATAGAATATGGAGATTTGAAATGGTTTGATGGTTTGGTTTTCAGCTTCAAAGTGCTTTGCAAAGATCAGCCACAAAATTGACTGCTAAGCCCAGGCAGTGATTTTAAAAGTGCTGCTTTTCCTGTGCTATGGATGAAGAAGAAACATCAGTGGGTCTCTGTCACAACTTGCCCTACTCAGACAACAGGTTGATGAGCCCTCCCCAGCCTGGCACAACATCAGCAGGAGCAACCTCCTAAAGCCCCCTGAGATAACCTTGATACCAACCCCCTCAGGCTGAAAAAGTTGGTCTGGGCAGTGGGGAATATGAGGCTAAATTTCACACAAGTATTTGAAGTATTCAGACCTTAACATCTGCCAAAGCTGCCCTGCTGCCTGGGCTGTGATTGATTCATGAGTTTTTAAGGCCAAAAAGGACCATCAGCCTGATCCCCTGAATAGAGGAGGCTTAAAAACCATCCTTGTGCCAAAACAAGGATGATATTTGTGTCTGATTAAAGCACATCTTCTAGACCTCACAGTTCTTGTAACTGTTCCCCTTCCTCCCCACCTGCTATTTCTGTTTATTCACCCAGTGCAACATATTTAACAGCCCACTTTATGCTCTGTAAGAAAGAAATTATCTTTAAATTGTACTGCTAAGCAGCCAGGATATATTTGAGTGTTGTGAAAATAACAAGTAGAAGAAATGATGAGAAACAACAGATATCCAAACTTCTGTGCTATAGCTCTGGATGTTGTCTTACCAAACTATGATGTGAATTCTCAATACTGCATTCTCCATCCAAGTTATTTTTTAGTGTGAGTAAGTAGACAATATAGCTGTTGCAGCTTTTAGGTCACTGTCGTTGTATGAGGGATGGCTTTTGCCTATAATAACCTTCTCAAAAAGCTGGAAGATAATGCAAACCTCTATATTTTTTAAAATGTCATTTCATTCTTTGCTAATACAATGCTTATAAAAACTCCTGAAGGCCAAGCACAGCTTCATAAATCTTCAAACCACAGCTCCTTTGCCATTTGGCAAAGCGTCCAAACCTTGCTACAGCAGGAAAATGAGTAATTCATGGCAACAAGGTTAAGAATTTTGAAATTAAAAAAAAACCCTATCCAATAATCTCCACAGCAATAGCAAGGTGCAGAAGTTCTCCTACCTCCTTGCAAGAACTTCATTGGGTAAACTATGGCATGATACCGGTCTATGCTTAGTGACACGAGGACATAAGTTGAGGCATACAGAAGGACCACCTGGGGCAGAAGATAAGACAGTAATTGAGACAAATTGATTGCAGAAAATCATGTCAGCAACAACAGTGAACTAAGAATATTTGAAAACTTTGACTGAAAAAGAACAAAAGAAAAAAAAAAAACAAACCACCCTTGTATTTTTACCCAGCTCTTTATCTTTATCTTGGCCACAAAATTCAAGATTTAATACGCTTTAATTGAAAGTGTTTCAACTTTATAACGACCACTTTCAACACTTAGCACTTCTGATGCTCGAAAAATGTCTCTAGAGAGTTTTTGTTGGAGTTTGTTGCTGTGGGGACACAAAGCCACCTGAGCTTGGGCACAGAGGAGAGCAGGAGGTTGCTGTACCTGGAAGTAGCGAACGACTCTGCAGACGATGTCAGGAGCCATGAAGTCTCCAGTGTAACGCCAAATGATGTCAGCTTCTGATGGTCGAAAAAAGTCTCTGGAGCATTTTTTCTTGGAGTTTGTTGCTGTGGGGACACAAAGCCACATGAGCTTGGGCACAGAGGAGAGCAGGAGGTTTCTGTACCTGGAAGTAGCGAACGACTCTGCAGACGATGTCAGGAGCCATGAAGTCTCCAGTGTAACGCCAAATGATGTCAGTCATTATGTTTATGAGGCCCGTGAATGAATCTGCAAAGGAAATTAACTGAAGAAGTAGGAAAAGAAGCAAACACACAACTGCAGGTGGACCACGGAGGCAGGTATGACCAGCTGCCCCAGCTTTGAGGGCAGCCATGCCATGACCGGTCAGCCCAGGGTGCTAGAGCTGCTGGGAAACCCTCAGAAAACAATTTGTGTGTTTCTTTTCTTGTTCCCTTAACACAAGTCCACTCAGACCCATGAGGCAAGGTTCCTCTAAGCGTTGTACCCCACAGATGGTTTCTCATGAGCATGGCTTGCCACTGGCCTGGCTGGCATTCCAAATGGGACAGACGAGCTGCACCCTTCAAGTTCATTTTTCTCCTTATTGCTTCTAAGAGGACCTGAGGTGACCACTGAGATAACCACATCAGCCCTAAGCTGGGTACACGTCTTAGTCTAGACCTTCATCTGTCTCAAAGATGCCTAAAACTGAGATCAACTCCTCCTCAAGTAACAGTGTGGGTTTTGTGAGTAGAGGTCCATAAGCAAATCATCTGTGGGCATTCATCCCTTGTACACCTAAACATTTCAGGCTTGTCCTGAGAGACACGGAGGGGACTGCCTGGTGGACCTGAACCTGCAGCATGATGGGCTCACTCCCACCTCCTAGAAGTCCTCAGGTTTTCCATGAGGTGTGGATAAAATACAGCATTGGAAAGCTGCAGGTTAGTGTCTAAGTGCATCGGTTGTGACAAATATTGAACTATTTAATGTCAATTTTTTTTGTTCTTTTATTTCACTGTAAAGAAATATGTCTCCTGTGAGAGCACTCTGGGGTGATATCCAAATGTTAGAGTAAATTTTGTCAGGGTTTTCTTTGCCAACTTAATTATTTAATTTTTAATCCTGCCCTATCAGTTTAAAGTTAACCTTCTTCTGCCTGTACTTTTGCATTCACCACAACAAATACACCTCAGGCCATCTTTTCTTTCTGTAAGAAAAGCTAAGGAGATATTCCAGCCTTTGTTCTGCTGCTGATTGAGCGCTCACAGCGATGCGAGTTTTACAAGGGAACTGCAAATGCTGCTACTGCTGTTGTACACATGGATGAAACTGAATTTTTGTCTTTAAAACCAAGATAATAAAAAAGTTCTTTCTCTGTAGGACAGAGTGTTTTAAGTGCTGTTCATGGAAGAAAATGTGCATCAATCCAGCGTCGTGCCACTTCAAGTCACACAGCATGTTGCATGGATTACCACAAAGGGAGAAAGCAGGTTGGGAAAATATTTAGTGCAATTTGTGAGAACAAAAACAAGTCAGATCAAAACACACCTTCAATCCAGATCTTAAAAATTTCAAGTGGTGAGGTAAAATGATTTATTTTGATACTTCCATTTTACACATTCAAGTAGCCTCTCTAAAATTTACTGCGATGGAGACATCCTAACCCCCATATCAGAAGATTTTGGGTTGAAATGTACCTTGGAAACAAGATATTTCAGCAATTTCAAAACATTGTTTTGATCAGTAAACAGTTTGAACCAGTATTTCCAAACAGATAGGTATGGGTTTGGCAAAATGGGTTTCTTCTAAGTCCTTTGAAATCACAGAATTTCCAGATGCTTCTAGCTGGAAACTGAGATCTCAGTTCAATGCTTTAGAAGGAGCAACCTGTTTTGCTTCACTGGAAAACCAAGATTATTTTTTTCTGTGTCAGTAATCCTTTATCTCTTCTTTTTCTTCAATCTTTTACTTCCTTTACTTCTTCAAGGCTCAGCTCAAAATGAAATTAGAGCAGAAATATCGTTGCTGTTGCACGTTACTTTGTCTCCCTCCTTATGACTTTATCATTCAATTAATTCTGGCTTGCTATTTCCTCTCCTGGTGTTTCCCAACTCCATTTTCTCTCTCTTCTCTCTCCCCTTGCCTCCAGAGGGAGGCTGGGTCAGAGGTGACCTCCAGAATTCTCCTTCCACCAGCACTTCTCTGGTCTCTGCTTCCACAGCTGCCTAAGGCAGCAGAAAATCATGGTTTGAATGTTAAACATTGCTCATTGTTTAGAGTGATGGGGCAAGGGATGGTTGTTCCTCTGATGAATATAGTGGCTTCAAGACTTTAGTGGAAAGATTGTAGGTGTGTATAATTAAGGTGCTCTTCAGAGAAACCACAGAGTTGAAGTGTTTCAAAAAGTGAAACACATCCTCCAGCCCTGGTTCAAACCCAGCACTTCCCCTTTCCTCGCTTCTGAATTATTGATCCATAGTCTCTCTCTCTCCCCAGTAATGAAATATTCATTGTTTCAAAGTAATATACATCAATAGAGCTTCACCTCAGGGTATCCTCCAGCTTTTGATGGTCTGAGCATCCGCCAAGCAAGTGGTAAATGGGGGTTCAGCTTCCCTCCAGGGGAGGAGAACACGGGGGCTGCCCTCCCTCCTGCCCATCTCCATGCTCTCTAGAGGAAAGGGAGGGAGAAGGGAAGGCACCTCAGCTTTCTCCTCATTTCCCTGCTCTCACCACCACTTTGGCATCCCTTTCCAATGCATCAGGAGAGCGCTTGGGAGGTGCATCCTGCAGGTGAGGGGTGAGGTGGGCCCATGTCCTGCTGGTCTCCAAGATGCAGAGCTGCCTGCTGGGTCTAAGGAATTTGGGCAGGCCCAGAAGACCACTACCAGCATAAGCCCACACCAGCTTTCAAATATGCATTGGGAGTGTGTTTTTTTAACCTGTGGATGGTCCCCGTTTCACTGGCTCATGTGGTGGAGAAGCCACAGAGGAATGAGTTTGTCCTCCAGCTGCTGCTCAACTCAGAGGTGCTTTCCAGGGGTGCCCCTCGTGCACCCCACACCACATAGCTTCCAGCCAGTGCTCAGGCTGAGGAACCATGAGGAGGTTTGCTTGGCTGAAGCAGACCTCTCCCTGCAAATACACAGTGTGGATATCAGCTCCATCTTCATCACGCCACGTGTCTCTTCCTGCTACAGAGCACTACCCACCAACACAGCTCTAGCCCTGAGTACTTCAGGAGCTTGAAAGACAACCCCAAACCATCTTTCCCTTGAAAGCCTTCGAGTTGAGGCTTTTCAGGTGACTGTGGAGGCTTTTAAGCCAGGACATCTGCAGCTAGAGCAGGTTGCTCAGAGCCCCATCCCATCTGGCCATTTCTTTCTTTGTGGCCACCCCCCTCCAGTGTCACAAGTACCTGTTGCAAACCCTTATTAGTGATTTAGACAATGAATGTGCTGCTCATTATTCTGTTATCTTACTGCTCATCACAGCCAGCAATAGACTTCACATTTTTCACACCTTCACAACATTGCCTTAGCCTACAAGTCCTTGTCAGGAGATGTTCTAAACCTTGGTGTCCTCGTCACTGCTGGTATCCTCACTGCTCCTTACTGAGCTAGTGGCTTGCATCTTAGATACTTATGTTCTTTCACTGATGAGTGTTCCTGGGCCACATGGCACCAAGCTTGTTCCTAAAAACAGTGCTATCAACCTTCACTCAAAACTGTGTGAACTTGTCACTGCCACTGCTTTCTTAATACTCTTACTTTTTTTTACCAAGAAGTTATGTGTCTATGGTGGTTTTATGTCTGCATTGCTAGGCAACTGTATGGCTCATTTAATACCTCAGAAAAAATAGGCAGAAAATCAATTAATGACATATATTCTCTTTTGACAGAAAATAAAAATATCAGCAAAAGTTAGTGTGTGGCTTTTAACATAAGCCAAATGTATACTCCTAAAATGATGCAGAGAAAATATTTCCTCATTGAAGTTTGACCTGGCAGTGCTGGGTTAACAGCTGGACTCGATGATCTTGAAGGTCTCTGCATCTGAGCAGAGGAACAGGAGGTGACTGCAGCATGTTGGGTGGTGGGTGCTGCCTCAGATGACTGATGAGCACAAAAATGTGAAAAACCACTGCCCTTGAAGGGACAAATCTGCACGTGGGCTTGTTGCTGGGAGTGAGACAAATTTTTGTGGCGAAAAACCCTCCACAGAGATAGAAGTCCATTACAGAAAACAAATGGAGGTAATTAGTGATCTGGCATGGGAATAGAGATAGGTTACAACTGCCTCAGTGAATCTGTTCCTAGAAATTCATTGGCTCCATGGCATTGCCAAAGGGACATGCCTTGTGCAGACTTCAGGATATTTCTTTTGCTACAACTAAGGAGGTTAAGACAAAAATCTGTGCTAGCCAGTCTGCAAGAAATTATCTCTATCATTTGATTATTAGTACTGACACAACGCTTCCCTTAAGACACTTACCCTCAAAATGCTGGAAGTCTTTTCTGTCAGAAGTGGAGAGCAGATTGCTGGTGAAGCTGAGCTGGCTTAACAGGCTCCACACGTCATCTCAGCTGCAGTGTGATCATTTTTTTCCCCTGATGAGAACAATCCTATTAAGTTGGATGTGTTGATCCATGACTTTTTGGTGAAGCAGCCTCCTCCTGAAGTTTCTTCCCTCTTTTCATGTGGCTTACGGAGCGTTTCCATTTAACCAGGGATGTTTTGTTCTGCTTTTTTGACGGCACCAACCTGCACTGAAGGCACTGCAGCAGGAGCAATGCTTTGTGAGGCAGTGGGTGTGAGTTCCTCCTCAGGACTGAACACTTCACATGGCTCTTTTGGGGTTTTTTTTGGACCTCACCATGTGCATTCCCATCACCTACCACTCCCCGGAGAGCACATCCTCTGGAAGCATCAGAAGCAGCAGTTTGCTAACACCCACCTCCAATGGAGTGGTAGACTCTTAAAACCAAAACCACCATCACGACCCTGTTACAGCAACAAGGTCCTTGTCCATGTGCACACCCATGAGCACTTTGCTGTGGTGCTTTTGCTGGAGCACACATGGATAACACTCTTGTGTGTTATCCTTGAAGCCTGGCAGCCTAGAGTAGAACACAAAGTGTAATGGATGAAATGAAACCCATCTGAAAGTTCTCAAGAGAAAACCTGCTCAGTTCCTCTGTTAAAGCTACATGGATTTGTTTTTTTTTCCCAGTGGTAGAAGTGATGATGCTTTTCTCTTTCTC